TTTTACATATGCACATTGAAATTTGGATTCTAAGTAAGTCCATCTGATTCACCAAAGTTGACGGTAAATCTTGTATGTCGTTGTCTGTGAGTCAGTTTAGTCTTTAGACATATTTTGTACTTCTTCATCCACAGGTGAACTGAAATCAGTTATTAATTTAGTGTTAGAAGTAAAATGCTCTTTCCTGTTGCTTGACTTACTTCGACCCGACGGGGATCTTTGTAAGGGACCTGGATTAGATTCCACTCCATAAATAAGTAAAAGTATTAAAATTAATTTGATATTATGGTATTTTCCTAATAAAAAAACATCTGAAAAACTTCCTTCATATTGTTAAGGCCTGAGAGAAAATGCGCCAGAAGCGTCGGCACTCACGATACTTCCCCTCGGATCTAAACAATTATTCAGTTTCAAAACTAAGAAAGAAGATAAAAATTTAAATATTTAATCAAAATGATATAAAAAATAATAATTAAATTCGTTTAAAAGATATTCTATACTTTTTATTTTCTCAAAAATTTATTTTTAAATTAAATGAAAGTAAGTTGTTTTATTGAAATGCTAAAACAAATTAAGATTTATTTTTCATTTAAAAATAAAAATATTCATTATTTAACTTGAAAAAATAAGTGGAATTTTCCTTTTTATATTTATAAATGAGTTTAATCACATCTATTGATAGAACTACAGAGAAAACTTAATGAAATTATCGATTTGTTTTAAATAAAAATGCAAACAATTATCTGTTAATTTCTTTAAAAATTTTTATTTAATCAGTGATAAATATGTTAGCATCGTTAGAGTTAATTACAAAAAAGTAAATAAACTCCACTAGTAAATGTTCAAAATTAATAACATTACAATGGAAACAATAATTTTAAAAATAAATTCTAATTAAAATCGTTATTCTGTAATTATGTAACCCAAAAAGTATAAAGCATCACTGCATCAATTACAAGAGAAATTTTAAGAAAGAATAATCTTTATATTAAAGATTTTTAATGAATATATTCTTTAAAAACTTATTTTTTAAAGAATATTCATTAAATAAAATAGTTTGTTAGAAAATCTATTACAATATCTTTCTAATGCTCCACACTAGAAATTACTATCGTATGTTAATGATGAAATAAAATATTCTATGCAAAGATTTAAAAAATATATCTTTATCATTTTTGAATTATAAATTCAGGTTATTTAAAATATATAAAAAGCTCGGAATTCCGACATCTAAACACTAGAAATGATTGAATTTATTAATGTAGAATTTTTATTATTCTTCTTGTTAATTTTAAAACTACATTAAAAAAAAAAAATATATATATCTAATTATTCTTAACGACAGAATTAATAAAATAAATCTAAATATTTTTGGTTTGCTTTGATAAATCTTTGTTTAAATTTACAAATGAAAATTTTAATTTATTACAATTATTATGGCTATTCTATACATACAGTAGAGCGTCGATTATCCGAACCAATTGGGGACTGGGGTTGTTCGGAAGATCGATGTTTCGGATAACCGATTATGTACGAAAAATATATTAATTTATCCCATCTTGACATTTTTCTCCGTTGCGTGTCGCTTCGCGTTGAATTTTCGTCGATGTTAAGCCTAACGAAGACTATTGTATCGTTAAAAATTATTTTTTTTTATTTTGTACGAACAAAATAAATATATTGAAAAATATAAAAACAATGAAAAATTATACTTCAGAAGTTAATTTAGTATCAAAAACGTAAAATATTTCAGTAGCCCAACACATAGCCAAAGATTGCAGCGCCACAGCACTGGCAAAATTTAAATTTGCCGACTGGAATTCTTTCGGATGATTGACTTTCGGATAATCGACGCTCTACTGTACTTATCATTTTACTTCAATATATATCATACTTTAAAAACAAAGATTATTACGGATTTGAAAAGATCTCATAAAAAATATTTCTGTTTTCGAAATGTTAATATTTATATTTACATTCGCTAGTACATTTATAGCTTGTATTTATAATACAATGTTTAAATAACATTCTAATGTTAATTTATATTAAAAGTATATATTTCAAGTAACATATCTTAAGTTTGTTAAACATAATTTTAAATAAACAGGAAATATTTTAAAAATATATTTTCTACAGATTGTAACTTACTAACTTTTAATATTCGTTTTAAATAATATTCTTTAATTCTTTATAAAATATTCATAAAAATTCTCATATTCTTAACTTTATATTTAATTAGAAAACTTTTAAATAGTATATCAAAGAATATATTTTATTGCTTAATAAAAGTAATGTTTAAAACAAATTTTACGACTGCTAAATATTTTGAAGTTTTTAATATTTTCACGTTAACTTTCTTCATTGTAAATTTATTAACATACAAATCAAGATGGACGTAAGTCGTTTAAACAGAACGACACATACAGAAAGTTACCAAAATTTAGCTTCTTTTTTTTTTATTTAAAAAGATGAAAGTGATATAAATCAAATATTTCGTTTGATAAATGGTAAAAAAATCTGGTTTTATTTATTTCACTTATTTTCTAAATGTATGTTTAAGGTTTTTAAAAAGGGTACCTTTTTTCTGAGTAGTTCAAGCTCCATTTCACCTCTCTTAGGTGAGATATATAATTATTTAACAATGTATTTAGTTATTTCAGGAAGAAAATATATAAATTAGAAATAATTGTAAAATATTTTTCAATNTATAACGAGATAGTTACGGTTAATAGATATATTATATCTAAATAAATAGATGTTATATGTTTTTATCAAAGCAAAAATTGACATTTAGAGGGCAAAGAAAACCTATTGAAACTAATAACAGAGGTAATTATATTGAATTTGTTTATTTATTAAGTACGTCAGATAAATAATCTATTAAAAATACATTTAAAGAAAGAATTAACTGATTGCCCCTGGAAGTCGGCTTCTTGTAGAAACACGGCTTCCCTATCATCAAATATCACGGCACGCCACTGTAAGACAACCGCCCGTTTCTTGTCGAATGTAGGCGACTTCCGCCTTCCAATCTCCTCAACATCTTTCGGAAACACCCGAATCACTCGAAGGGAAGTGGAAGAGAAGGAGGTGGAGGAGGACGAGGAGCTTTCCTCCTGCTTATCATCACCCGAAGTGTGCCACTTTAGCTCTTTGAAATTATCCATTCTGCAATGAAAAAGAAGCGACTGTTGTAAAAATAGAACTTTCATTAATTAAAAAATATTTCTATTGTCTTCATTTCATTTAAGTTGTAAGTAAGAAATATATATACATTTTTAATGTAAAATTAATTTTAAAGTGCAATAAAGATTTATGATAGAAGATGGTAGAAAATGATCATTTAATTATAATAAAAATTTCAAAGTTAGAAATCAATATTATGATAAAATCTTTAATTATTAAATATAGTAATTTTAATCTTTCCAACGATTTTTAATGTTCGATATATAATTTAAAAAATCGGTTTATATAAATTATACAATTCTGTCCATTGCCATAACATAAAATATTTGTGAAAATAAAGAAATTCTATTATAATTAATTAAAGTTTATGGTATAGCGGTGCGAATTTCATATGAGATATAATGTGTATATAAACCATAGCGGAGAATGTTGCGTAGCCACGAAATTTAATGTAAAACGTTTGGATTTTTCAGCGAATTTCTTAATTTTTCCGCCTCTTTGTTGCTGAAGAGACGGATTTTCGTGGATCATCCCTTGTATATACATTCCTGTTAACAGTAATATAGTATATATTCAAAAATCTAATATTCTCGTGTTTCGTGTCAGTATAAAGATGAATAAAAATTTCGATTTTACGATGATCCGTCAAACCGAAAAAAAAAAAACTGGAAGTAACCCCCTCTTCCTGTTACAATAGAGTCATGCCGGTCATCTAACATCTTTCAGGGGAAAATTGGAAGTTTATATATAATTAATCGGGACCTTCTGTCTTTACGCTTTCCATATCTGGTCTCAACTTTATCTACTTCATTCAGTTCTTCTGATTAAGAAAAGACAGACAGACAGATAACAGTAGGAATTTACAAGTCTGCAATTTGAAAATTGCAGCCCAAAAACAGCCAAGCCATGACTCAGTGGTCAAATGGTATAGGTTCGGTTTCTTAAACCGAAGATCCACGGTTTGATTCCTTAGCTTTTTGCTGGATTTCCTGGCGCGGGCCAGTGATGTTCGAACATTTTGGCTTGCAAAGTGCTGCAGAGTGTTCGTCGCTGAAACTTTATTTCGACGTAATTTTCTTGCCCTCGACGGGGATGTATTCACAGAGTGATTGTATTTCGTGACAAATATGACTTTCTTTTAAGTATTTTATCGTCAATCAAGCTCACCCGTACATGTGTACACCTAAAAAGTAACCGAAAGAACTCGATTTACGTATGTAGATATCTGATCCGTAAGACTAATATTTATTTTTAAATAATGGTACGGTAAGATTAATATAAAAATACTATAGACCTAAGTACAAAAGTTTAGTTTCATCTAAAGGAAGTAAATAACTCTTTATAGCTGTAAGTAGACCTATTTGATAACCTAAGAATATTAAGAAACAAACGACCAAGACAATATAGACAAAGCATGCACACATCTACCCAAACTGCACGAATAAAAACCAAAACCCAATAGGTAATAAGCTTTAAAAAAGCCCACCGGATGGCGAAGGCACGGACCGTGAACGGAGGTGTCAAACAACAATGCGAACATGACAGATAAATGTCGCGGTAAAAACATCATTCTGGTGCATTTTCTTTTTCTAGTATTAAAGTACTATGTAACATATGCTCATCTGGAAGTAATAAACTTTCTGACAGCGAAAGAATTTTTAAAATCGATTTAGTAGATTCCAAGATTTCCTCCAGCAAACAAACAAACATTTTTGCTTTATATATTAACCAAAACTCCAACCTCATCTACAAACCCGTGGATAGTTCTTGCTGAAAATGGTTTTGGTCGATACAAAAAAGCAATTGGGTTTAAAAGGCTCAGCAGGGATTCGAACCCTGGATTTTCGGTTTACGAGACCGACGCCGTACCACTTGGCCACTAAGCCATTGCATATTTATTCTGAAAAATACATTTTAAAAAATTCGTTTTTGTAAAAAGTTTTTTGTTGTTATTTATTATAGAATCATGATTACGTGTAAATTAAAGACTTGTGACAGATAAAACAAATCACATTTGTAGGTAGTCTATATCTGTATTTATTTTATAGGGTGATTTGGTGTCATTACTGGTCGTCGATGCAAAATAAAATGAAAGACTTGAGCCCTTCGGTGTTCTTTCAAATTGCCTCTAATGAAAAATAAGTTATTTCCAAACAGATGGAACTGTGCCGATTCAGAAATACAGACAATACGATTTTCGGCTTTTGCGTCAGTCTCTCACAGGTTCCGACTCTCAGAGAACATTCGTTAGATTAATGTAATCGTTTTATTGAAAAATATTTGAATTTTCCATCTCTGGAAGGTTTCCGCCTTACTCAAGTTCCGGTTTCCGAAGGTTTTTACTGTAATTATATCTAGGTTTAGTTTTAATATTTCTGACCATTGATAAAATTTATGGGGCAACAAATACCTTTATCGAATTCAAATCGTCCATCTGTAATACACTTGTTCCATTCAATGCAATATTATGCAATATTTCTTTATATCTTTAACTAATAAAAGTTTACTCCATAATATACCCCATATTAGTTTGAAACTTGTCAAAGTGGACTTAGACCACTTTTAAAATAAATACAATTGTGAAAAATATGTAACTTTCGTTCTACTGATGATTGTAATGATAGTTGTATTTCAACTGGGGACATGATACACGGATTGTTTTCTAATGTAGATTTTGTTGAAAAATTTGGAAAAAATATAATTTTATTGTAAAGATATTAACTCTTCTTCTAGAGGAGATTTTCTGNATAAAATAAATTTTTTTTTTTAATTTTAAAAATGATTATTTATACGTGAAATCATAACATAAAACCTCCGAAAGACGTAAATAAACACACATGTGTAGTAGCTATCGCCACCTGTAGCACGATTTAGATCCGCGAAGCATCTCCATTCACATTTAACCAGCCTGTAAAGTGGGCAATCCCGCAGTGTGGCATTGTCAGATGGGAAAGCTGACATACAGAGCGCTCTTCTCTTCTGGACTGATCAGCTGGATTCTGAACGAAGATACATTCTACTAAATCCAATATTATTCATTAATCGTAAGTTGTCAACACTTTTATTTATTTTTAATTTTTAATTTTAAATTAATATTATGATATTTTTGTACCGGAAAACTGACTTAATTCGTTATACGAAGATTCTAAAAGTCGAAAATATTTTATAAATAACAAATCGTGACGAACGAAATCAAAAGCCGATTAAAGTATTAAAAATGACAGAATTTGTTAACTTTGCTTGTTTACTTTTTATAAATAACAAGGAAATTAGTCAATTTAAAACTATATAAAGTAACAAATTATCATCTTTCTCTTCCACTCTTCTTTCTTCTTCTTATCATTGTTATTGTATTGCTGTAAACTATTTTTTTTTATCATTATATGTAAGCAGATTACATGTTAAAATCTTAAGTTTTATTGAATAATTTTCTTAAAGAAAAACGTAATATTACTTTATATGAGTAGATATTAATAGGAAAATTTAGTAAAATTTTAATAAACATGTTAATGAATTGTATCGATAAATAATACATAAAATGATATGTAAAATCTATTCTGATATATGATTAATTTGGATTAATATTACCACTTTAATATTGCTTTTAGTAAAGTATTTAGTATCTTAATTATTTTATCATTTTATCGATTACAATATTTAAATAGGAATTGATCTGAATATTTTTATTTTTTTGAAAATTAAAACACTTCATTTTATTTTGTAGTTGATATAAATCTTCATTAANTTGAATTTTCCATCTCTGGAAGGTTTCCGCCTTACTCAAGTTCCGGTTTCCGAAGGTTTTTACTGTAATTATATCTAGGTTTAGTTTTAATATTTCTGACCATTGATAAAATTTATGGGGCAACAAATACCTTTATCGAATTCAAATCGTCCATCTGTAATACACTTGTTCCATTCAATGCAATATTATGCAATATTTCTTTATATCTTTAACTAATAAAAGTTTACTCCATAATATACCCCATATTAGTTTGAAACTTGTCAAAGTGGACTTAGACCACTTTTAAAATAAATACAATTGTGAAAAATATGTAACTTTCGTTCTACTGATGATTGTAATGATAGTTGTATTTCAACTGGGGACATGATACACGGATTGTTTTCTAATGTAGATTTTGTTGAAAAATTTGGAAAAAATATAATTTTATTGTAAAGATATTAACCCTTCTTCTAGAGGAGATTTTCTGTAAGGAGTATTATTATTATTATTCGAAAGTTTTGATAATAATTAGTGTTTTTATTAGTAGGAATTGAGACCTTACCTTTGCTGGATTTGAAGTCATTTCTAAGTGCGATTAACTTAGACTATCATTTTGTTATATAAAATTTATTTTAAAACGAATAAAACATATTTTTAGTCTTTTTTTAAAATTATTATAATTTTATTATAAAATTATTTTGTTCAGTATCCTGATTTAAAAGCAAATTTGATAGAGGGGTATTTTTAATTCTTTAATAATAATGAAGATAAAAAGTCCATTGCCATAACATAAAATATTTGTGAAAATAGAAAACCAGACAATGTAAGTCCCAATATCAACTATCTCCGGTTTGGATTGAATTAAATGTCGATTTTGACTCATTCCACGATCCAGGTTAAGATCTCGTTACACTTAGTAACGAGTGAATAACCACTTAGAAAGTGAGGACGAGGAAAAGCGATCATTCGGAATGGGCGATCAGAGACAGAAAATAATAAAAGCTCTGAATTTCAAGGGCAAGAGAGCTTTTTTCCAATTTTTCAGTGCCAGACCTTGTTTGGTTACATTCTCAACTTCACCCTCGACTCTCTCTCTCTCTCTCTCTCTAAATCGACATCACCTCAACTCTAGACTGTCGGAATCGCCACAACAACGGAAAGATTCGTCTCTCAAGACTCTCTCTTCTAAAAAAAAAACAGAAGATTCAACAGATTTGCGCTTGTCTGCAGAGAACACCAAGAACACTTGTTTCTGTAAGCCATTTTAGTAAATCAAAACGATTTTTTGTAACCGTTAAGTCTGTCTCGGTGTCTGTCACACCCACATACAAATCTCCATTTCTCTTCCGTTCTGACTTAAATTCACAATTTGGCAACCTCAAATAATGATCATCCGCTCTTTTAAAGATTTATGCCCGAAAGCAGACTTTTCTTTTTCGGATGCCCGGGAGCAAACTTTTCTTTTTCGAATCACTAGCGTTACGTAGTGGGCCGCCCCTGCCGCCCCACTACGCTACGCTACTGATTACACAGACTGCAGCTACAAAAGATTTTGAATGAAAAAGAGTCCCCATAGGAATAAATAAAATAAATAATAAAGCAAATTTTATTTATAAAAAGTTATCTTTGATTTGTTAATAAAGTGTATACGATTGTTTAAGTTAATCACGTTAGAAGTTTAATTTAGTTTTTTTAAAGCAAATTCTTAACCTAAGATAACATTTTTTAATATTTGAAGTAATATTTCTAAAAGAGATTTAGTTGAATAGACTGAATAAATTGAGAGATATTGTATGAGAGTTGGTAGAAAATTACACTTTGCAAAGAAAAACTTAGTTTTCACTTTTTTTCTTATTCGTAATTTACGGATGAAAGAGAATAATGTAACAATTCCCAACGACGTATTTTACTATTCAAGCATTTAAAAAAACCTACTAAATGGAAATTTTGTGGAGTTGCTGTATTAAACCTCTATAGTTACACTTTTTGTGCTTCTCCTTAAGAAGGAGAAAGAAAGAATCTATGAGATTAGTAGTCTTTTACATTCAAGTTAGTAATCAATTCAACAATCAGATTCGTTAGAAACTTATTCTGAAGATTATATTTTATCTTAATAATTGTACAGAAAATAATATATGCTTCTTTCTTTCTTTAAACTAGCTTGAAATTTGTATAAACTTCCAGTAAATTAAATTTATTATTATTGCAAGAGCATTGTCTGTTTTCATTTCTAATCAGCAAACTCAAAACCCTTCCATTTTTATCCTTATGTAAATTTTATATCTTTTAAGTACTTATAATTTAAATTTTTAAATTAAAAATTTAGCCGCGTAGAATCAACAATTTAAACAATGGAACATAAATTATCCTTTGAGAAAACTATCTTATTTTTAAATATATTTGAGTATATTTAAAATTATTCATTTATATTAATCACAGATTTAAATATTTTGATGTTAAAACAGTGTAAAATTATTCAATTTTTTTTTGATTACGAAGAAATTGAATCACAATAAAGCCAGTGAGGAGAAAATTGTTTCTTGTATGCTTGATATCGTTAAAAAATATTTCTGTTGATCGATAGTTTCCTGAACATTCGATAGCTTTCTGAATATATTCAATTTTCAAATGTTATTATATCGTTGTTTAAATTTATTTTTTTTCTAAAGTAAAGAAAAGCGACTTTCTCTATATTTTTCTTTCCGGTTTTGAAGTTTTCTATTCTCAATTTTGCTAGCAATATCTTTAAAATATTCAGATATAAATAAATTAAGATACATATTTAAGGAATATATTTTCGTTATTTAAAAAAAATAATAAATGATTTTAAAGTAATTTTATAAATAAATATTGTATTCTTTTAAAAAAGTCTTAAAATGTAGGTCAGAACTTGAAATTCTATGGGTACTAGAGGATTAAATTAGAAATGGCTATGAAAACACAGCAATACGCTAACAAATGAAGCAGATTATTTAAAGAAATTTTTATTTTTTAACATAAAAGTACAATATAAAATTAAAGTTATTTACAGAAATCTTTGTATTTTATTTTTTTAAATGATAAGATCATTTCTAATTTTTAATTTAAAAAATTAAAAATAACTTTTTAAAGGTAATTTGAACATGTTCATTTAGATGTGTTAACTCCAATAATTAACATAGAAATATTTGACGTATTTAAGCACTTAAATGTGTGTATGTGTGTGTACATATATATATATAATCAATATAATTAATTGAAATTATATGCTTGTATCTATTTGCGTAAATAATGTTTATTTCGCTGAAAATAGAAATAATTTTGAATACTTTTTGAATACTTTTTGAAATATTTCTAAATTAAATAATTATTTAAATAATATAACGTAAATATAAAAAGCAACATTCTATCAATTATTAAATTGACAAAATTTTACTGTAATTTTTATGTCACCTTTCATATTTAATAAGTTAAGAATATTTGATGTAATACATTAATATCATCTTACGTAAAACTAACATTAGAACAATTTTTTAAGATATTAATTTACTTGATAATAATATTTTATTTAACTTTTTTCTTTTTAAATAGAAAGCTAAATATTTAGTGAAAATAAAATTATCGTTAATTAGGTTATATTTTTAAACAAAAGTTTTCAAAAGTGATAAATTGGTAAACTGACTTCAGGCAAAAATTGATAATGATTAGACTTTATCCATCAATTATTTTCTTATCTCATTGTAAAGAATAAATTAATAAAATGCATTCATTTTTCATTTATTATCAAAGTATGAAGCTATATATTTATTTAGTGTCTATGCTACTTGCTTTCAAGAAAATTAAGGAAAAAAATTTATATTTAAATATTAAATAAAATTAATTTTAGAAATAAACTAATTACATATTTCTAAGTAGCAATAATTTTGTAAAATTGTTTTTAAACCTATTAGAAATTAAAATATTTTTAATTAATAACTAATGTTGCTGTACAGTTTACACTTTAATTATTTTTTAAAACTGTTTTATTAGAATTTTTATAAATTCAAATACTTATAAAAATATTTAATTTTATTTAAATACAACTTTATACACATTTATAAAAATTATTAAAATATATTATGTAAAAATTCGTCCTATCTTTTAAATGAATTTTTTAGTTATTTCAGCAATGAAATAATATAATTATTAATCATATAATTTTATTATTAGAAATATATGCATGTACATATGTTGCTTTTTATTATTACACAACTTTAAAAACATTTTTAAAAATAAAATTAATAAAGATAATATTTATATAATATATTTTTGTAAATTTTTTTTTGTTTTTTAAATTAAGTTAATTTAAATATGATGATATGACTCTGTTAATGTATTGTACCACGCAAGTTATGTACTATTTTTACGTCTGAGCTTTAGTAATAAGTAGTTATTGTAATTATTGATTTATCTAGCTATGACGTTTAAGAACAGTTTGTTTGTCTTTTTACTTTATTATTTTCAATTTACATATCACGTACGAATACTTGATGTATGCTTAACTCACGCAATCAGCTATAAAATTTTGATTAATGCAACAGTTCTTCAACAATTAGAAAAGTAGAACACGATTCATTAAAGTTCAAACTAATATCACGCATATACAAAAATATGTTAGAAACTTTTTCCTTCAAATCCCATGCGACAATTTAACGTGTAAACCCATCAAAAAATCATATTTAGTATGCGAGAATACATTATAAACAGAAAGGATGAATGTCCTCTTTAGCTATAATTCATGTCGTTCCAAACTCGCTTTTAGCAAAATATATTTATTTTATTTATTTATTTTTATGTCTAAAGTTTAATATTTAAATATTTAAAACAATAGTTAATTTTTTAAATTAATATGTTTATTATATATTACAATAGATTGTAATTTATAAAAAATATCAATTTAATTTTTTTAAAATATAATATTAATTGCGTACCATCGATAAAAACATGTTAGAATTTAAATAATGATAATAACAATAATAAATATTTTATAAATTATTTGAAATTACTGTAAACATTTTGCTATGCGTTAATTATTATGTATGAATAATAATAAATCCCATTGTAACAGGCTAAGATCTAGTACGAATAAAGGTTATTTATATTTGTATTGTATGCGTTAATTAATTAATTTTTTTTTATAAAATTTATTATAAAAAAATTAAAATTCTTAAAAATTTACTAATTCTTACTAATACGTTAATAAAAAAATTATAAAAATATATTAGGAAACATTTTCTATAAATTATATATTTAAGACTATATAATAGATGACTCCTGGTTGTCTTTTAGAACACGTTTATAATATTTAAGATCTTCTTCAATGTAATAATGTCTCGAAGTTATGTTCAATGTTTGGACAGTTTGCTTATGGATATGTCAACTAAAATGCATTCTAGTTTTGTAATTGTCAATTAAATTGTATCTCTCCTTCTATAGGGCACAGTTTAATTGTTGAATAGGTACTGTATACTATACTTGTATTCCATATACATTATATAAAATTAGCCAACTTTTATGCAATCTTTTAAATAAAATTTCTAAATATTGCCTAAAAATTCATATAATATTTATTTAAAAGTTTACAATTTTTTTTTTATTTTTTAAAATAAATAATTACAATATTATATACCAATTAAAATATACGTTCAGTATACATTCCATTCATTGCATTGCGAGATTACATTCGAAATATT